GTTCTGAAATATTCCAATGTCCAACGTTGACGTCAAGGGATTATTTCCCATTCTGGGGAAGCTCTGAGAGAAAGCCATGGTGAGTACAGCATCTCCAGGCCAGGAGGAGAGAAAGGAAGAAGTATAATTGAACGGTATGACTCAGCTGTCCACCCACTTCAGTCCTCTGAAGAGAAACTCTTGTTTAGAGCCACGTAATTTTCCTGGAAGAGACTTGGTGCAGTGTCATTGGCAACCTGGCCTTTTTTCCTGTGACATCTGGTTTGAAACTTGCCAGGGGTCAGAGGGGAAGAAAGGTCGTTCACATCCAGTGAATGCCTTTGTGGGGGGCGGGCAGTTAGGATGTTCGGTCCTGTTCCTAGCAGATGCCTATGGTCACCGAAGCCAAAATGAAGGGCAAGATCTACCAATGGATCCAAAAGAGGGGACTTCCAATCAATGTTTAAAAGGGCCACGAGGAAGAATAACCACTGATATGTGTAGTGTTTATGGTTTTCAGGGCATTTTCGTTCTCTCTTCCGAAAGCCAGGCTCTTCATGACTGCACGTATAATTCCCACGGCCAGGTTTGCCACATACTGACGGTTTTCCAGGTAGCGATCTCAGCAGCTCTCTTCAACATCCTATTTCTTGCAACGAAAGGCAAAGAAATGGAGCCAGCATCCCAAAGCATATGAGACATTTTAGATCGTCACTAGTGGTAAAGCCAAGGATGCTGACCACTGCGTGAAGCGGTAAACACTTACTATGTGCTCAGCAGAGTGTCAAATGATCTTGCCTATATCCATTCACTTAGTCACTAAATCCTCACTATGACCCAGTAAAGTAGGTGCTAGTGTTACCTCCATTTTAGAGAGGCTTACGTCTTTGGCCCAAGGTCATCCAGTAAGTGGTAGAGCCAGATTCAAACTGTGTCCATCCGACAACTTCTGTTGTCTCTCACTCTGCCTTCCTACACTCTGTCAGCAAAGCCACACCACCTTAGCAGGCAGCATGGACCTATCTGCTTCCCAAACAGTCCCAACCTAGAAAGCAAAAAATGCAGCAGGGATTGTGGAGAGAACACACAACTTCTAACAGATATTTTCAGGGTACAATCACTATCGCTTTTTCCCTGAAACGATGTGTACACGTGATTGTGTATCTCTGACTTCAAAGAGTCACTAGAAGGTAAAAGCTTCTGTTAAAAATTTTTTTTTTTTTAAACAACCTTTAGTCTCCATGGCTGACCATTTGGCATCTTTAATTTCTATATTATAATTCTCCCATTCCGGTCTCATGCTCTATTTTCCTGTTTGCAGGAATAATGCTTAGCATTTAAACACGTCCTAACTGCTCTGTTGGTGTTTGTGCACACGACCTGCTCAGCCTAGCCAGTGGTGGGCGGGGAGAGGGGAGGTCGTTCTGATTATGAGAGACTTGACACTGAGATGCCACAGTAGAAACTGACATGTCTTGATCCTGTGTTTCATTTTTTTTAAAGATTTTATTTATTTATTTGAGAGAGAGAACGAGATAGAGCAAACATGAGAAGGGGGAGGGTCAGAGGGAGACTCAGACTCCCCGCTGAGTGGGGAGCCCCATGCGGGACTCGATCCCAGGACTCGAGGATCATGACCTGAGCCGAAGGCAGTTGGTTAACCAACTGAGCCACCCAGGTGCCCCTCCTGTGTTTCATTTTCATACATGCATTGGAAATGCATTCTCTTGGAGTCCTTTATGTTGCAAACTCTAGCATAAGGTCTTCCAAAAGGAGCTTTTGGAAAAGACTGGTATCTACTCTCACTAAGCCTAGACAATTCGGGTCTCCTGAGGTGAGTTCAGGTACAGTGATCATGGTTGAGATGATTTGAGACTGTCTCCAAAAAGCTAATGGCTTTTTTACTGGACTATGTCTGGATGAATGTAGCCACCGGGTTCTGAGAAAGTTTCTAAGTATAATGTCAGCTCAAAGGAACGGTGTGGTCTGGCACCTTGGATACCACACTGAATGCACTGATGCATTTGTTTCTATGCTTTCCCTCCAATCATCCTACCACAAATAGAATCTCTCCGCAATTCTGTTGCTCAGACCGGAGACCCAAACCTACCTAAGGTTTACTGGTGAGGTTCAAATAAGACAGAGCACCTAACTTAATATCTACCAGGCACAGAACAAGGGTGGCTCCATAAATGGGAGCTCTCAGCACTCCTCCTGGTGTTTCAGGCAGTATGAAGGTCCCAGTCACAAGATGAAAGAAGAGTACCATATTATCTCTGCAGTACTATGTTACCTCTCCTAAAAGAGTCAATTCAAAAGAAACGAAAACAGGTGTTCGGACAAAGACTTCCACCCCCATGCTCATAGCAGCACTATCTGCAGTAGCCAAAAGGTGGAAACATCAACATGTCCATCATCTGATGAACAAACAAAAGGTAGTATATCCATACGATGGAGTATCATTCAGCCATAAAAAAGGAATGAAGTACGATCTATGCTACAACATGGATGGACCTAGAAAGCATTTCAGCAAGTGAAAGAAGCCAGTCACAAAAGGTCTCATACTGCACGACACATTTATGTGAAATAGGCAAATCCACAGAGACAGATAGCAGATTAGTGGTTGTCAGGGGCTGAGGGAGGGGAAATGGGGAGTCACTGCCTAACGTATGTGGGATTTCCTTCCGGGGTGATGAAAATATTCTGGAACTGGTGACGGCTGCACAATCTTGGGAATGTACCAAACGCCACTGAACTGTACGCCTTTAAAATGGTGAATTTTATGTCACGTGAATTTAACCACAATGATAAAAAAGGAGAATAATTTCAATGCATCCTTCTTAGAAAAAAGAAAGTGAGGCCTCATAAAGGCCTCACTGCTTGGCACTGTCCCTTCTGCTACTGCATGAACATTCTCTCTTGGTCTTTAGCCTTCCTGCCTTTTCACGAGTCCTCAAACTTTCTAAGGAGGGCTCATTTGTAAATGTTTATAACCTTGCATCTCCTTCTTGCTTCCAGGGCCCAGCGAGAGGGAATGAGTTGTCATTCTGCCCTACCTTGGATCTCTCAGTTCAACCTCCTCTTCAAATGAGAAGCTCGGCTGATGAAGGCATGACTGGTCTAAGGGTGGCACGCCGCGGAGAGCTGTCAACTCACCGACCACGATTATCTGATAGTCTCAGGACCGAGACAAAGTCACCGAACACACATCCTAAAAACCCAGATGATTGGGGCCAAGGGACCCAATGCCACTCCTTCAGGTAAATACAGAATAAAACAACTTGAGAAGGTAAAAAAGCAGATTGCGTTTATGTAATCACATAGAGAGGAAGTCAATGTACAAAATGTACTTTCACTTATTGCTGATTACTGCTTTAAACATTTCCATTAAAAAGTAATGTCGCATCTGTCAAAATCAATGATCTAGGGTTTTTTTTTTGTTTTGTTTTGTTTTATTTACCAACGCTGTGCTCGTCACTCACATATTAAATGCAGAAAGCAGGAATAACTGACACTGGCATTTCAGTGTGCATTTTGCATCAACTCTGAAGCCCATGACTCATGTAGGAGAGGGACTGCGTGCATCCAGGACAGGGACAGCGAGCCCCTGGGAGACGACAGGGCTTGTTGTTGACAAGGCCCCACAGTGCAAAGATGCAACTGTTAAATTTTGCCCAAAACGCAAACAGAATAAGGAGGTGAAAGTAAAGGCGAGTCGGGTATTGGCCACGTAACATTACAAACGACGTCAATTTTATTTTACTGTATTGTATTTTTTTTTATTTTAAAATTACACCAAATGGTGGGACTTCCAGTATGGCAAACAACTATATATGAAAATGGAGTTGGTGAGCCCAGAGAGTTTTTCCCAAGCTTTTCTTTGCTGACTCCTCACAACACATTTAGTGAATATGGAATTCTGTATTTTTTTTTTAAAGATTTTATTTATTTGTTTGAGAGGAGCGAGAGAGAGCGCACAAGCTGGGGGACTAGGAGCAGAGGGAGAAGCCGACTTCCCATTGAGCAGGGAGCCCGACACGGGGCTTGATCCCAGGACCCTGAGATCATGACCCAAGCCAAAGGCAGACACTGAACTGACTGAGGCACCCAGGCGCCCCTGAAACTCTGTATTTAATAATGACCTTGGCGTACCAGTGCATGAGCATTCCTTAAAACGGTCTGCTTTCAGTTTCCTAACATAGCAGACTCCACCGTAAAAAGAAGTTGGTCAGGTACTGGCTTTAAAAAAAGGCGCTCCTTCTGTGTTCCTCCTCCAAGGTTACAAACACACCCCGGAGGAGCCCACACGTGAGACACTTGTGTCACAGAGAAAACGCACACGCACTGCTGACACCACACACCTCCCTGCCGTTCTCACGGTTCATAAGCGATACTTGGCCTCTTCAAACCAACAAGTCCAGTCTCACTGGGAATGCTGAAATCACATTTCTGCCATCTCATTTGGGGGTGAGTGCTGTAAATACTTATAATGCAGAGTAGAAGAGGACGGGGCAGCAGCAGGTTTTTGCCAAATGCCTTGCGCCTGCAGGTCCGCGCATGCCGCAGGATGCTGGGTGCCGATTCTCAGCATTTGCTCTCAGGTGGTGCACCTGGGAGAGGGGAATGCAGCACTCCCATTTATGCCCTAATTAATTAATGAGCGTGGGCAGTAAGCCCGGCCTCGGAGTCACTAAAGGAAAGTCACACCTCATCCGAGACAACGCTTAGTCCAAGGGAAGGAATGACAGTCTCTTGCTTACTGATGACCCGTACGCGTGTTTGACAAGGGAGCAGAGGCAGGGGGTGAAAGCAGCTTTCAAGAGCTCAGCCCGTCCTCACTGTAGCTTGAATGAAACTGAGCTGATTACACCTGTTCCGGAACACCGTGCCTAGCTTTGCTTCTTCCGCTCTCTCTGCAGCCCAGAGATGAAGCGGAGGGCAGGCTTGCGGATGGCAAAACCCTTCCAGCCTTTTATGCTCCCTCCCCTTAGGTCCCAAACCAAGCATGAAGCTCTCCCTACCTGGTAGAGCTCAGTGGCGGTGCAGTGAGTGGCCAAGGTCTTCACAGGCTCAAGGTCATCTTCATCACTGCTCAGCTTCAGGTCGTCCTCAAGCATCCTACAAAAAAAGCACGGTGGTGTTCGTGTTAGAAAGCGTCTTTTCTAAATCATCCTCAGATACATCTTGCAATGAGGATAAAATATTGGAGCTACAATCTGACAGCTGCAATTCTGTCAAAGGTGCAGAGGGAACCAAGATTCTTTCAGCTAATTAGATATTTGAGCTCTTATATTTATGTCATACTCCACACACATCTTCCCTCTCCACCTTCCCCTAAATCAAGGGAAAAAAAGGACTATTTCAGCATCTCCAGAGATGACTGGAGTCTATATATTTTTACTACTGAAAGTGTAATAAATGTACTGATCAATCACTGTGGAGTGGAACGTGACACTGGATCTCTACAGGAAAAGATGCTCTGAGTCTCCCATGAAAGAATCGGGGCAGGGTAACAGCCCCCAGCTCTAGAGGCTGTTGTCGTAGCCTGCTGGGGCTGTCTGGACCACAGAGGCAAAGGGCCCAGTGACCTTCCACTGCCACGGTGCAGAGGGCTCTGTGGCCACAAAAGAGCTGGGCGAGAAATGACTAGTCGTTAACCTTTTGATATATGACCGATCGCTTCCTGTAAAATTTGATCCTAGAGATGTAAGCTCCTGATGTGGATGAGAAATCTTTCTCTCCTAAGGCAAGGTACCTGAAAAATACGAGTGGTCTGAAATTTGGCGATGAACTAGCCCTTTCAAAATTGTTTATGGGGCACCCAGAGCCTCTTGTTTCCACGGTGCCACGCGCTCTCTCCCCAAACTCGAGCCACAGCAGGAAGAGTGACTTATTATCTTAAAATTCCAGGTACACACAGCCTTCAAAGGCCAATCAGCTTGTGTGTGAATATTTCTATGTATTAAATACAACTTTAGACCTCGCTCCCAGCCTTCAAATGGCGGTGGTCCCAGCCTCCCTGGACGGATGACCCTTTTCTGAGCATGCTTTGCTCTTTCTTGCTTCCAGACTCCACCAAATCAGGCTCAGCTCCCAGGCCAGACTTTCCTGCTTCAACTCTGAAAATCCTATTTTGCCTCCATAGCTCAGCCAGATCCCACCTCCTCCACAAAAGCTTTCGAGAAAGAACCCCCACCTCTAAAAGAACACCTTTCCTTCTGCCCCACCCCGGCTGCAGCTGGATCACGGCATTGCCTTCTCCACCGAGTGTCCCCGCACCAGTCCCTCATTCCTGCGTGGGCTGCAGTTGCAATTTTTTCACTTCTGTCTTCCCAGAAATGATACAGTCCACTAGCCTTGCTTTGCAGACAAGGAAAGAAAGGTTCAGAGAAGCCAAGGGCTTTGCTCCAGATCACACAGCTAGCTAGAGCCAGTCCTAAAACTCCCATATCCTGATTTCCACCTGGGTGTTTTTTCCAGAAGGGAAGTTGGAAGGCAAAAGGCAACTTCTAATTTGATAAACAAGGGAATACATTGTTTTAGAGGTTATGTTCAAATGTTAGAAAGAGTTTCGGGTCAGCGTGGGTATCCACTCTTAAGTCTCCGAAGAAGGCACAGCTCCCCCACTTTCATGCTCAGCAACATAAGACCGGGATATGTTCACTGAGGTCTGAAAACCAAAGACTGATATAAAGAATGATTGGTGGGAAGGACAGCTGTTAGAGTTGGTTTCAGATAAACTAAACTTGTAGGATTTATGACTGTCCTTCATGAGACTAATGGATGTTTTGAAGATCTTTGAGTGTAAGACAAAATGTATCTTCCCATTTCTTTCGCAGTTGGAGGCCGATGTCTGTGAACAAATAATTCTTCACGACACATTGTGGCAAATGAAGACTGTATCATTCTCATAAGCTACCGACCTCAAATATTTTAAAACTATCCACGCTGGGCATAAAGGGTTTCATTTTCCTTGTGTGTGTGTGTGTATGTGTGTGTGTATCTCAATACAGGCAGGCAATGTCTATGTGTTAATTTCCATAGACGTGTTGGGCAAAACAAATTATCAACAATTCCTTCCATCCAGAAGATCCATTTATGTGTCATGGAAAGTGCTAAGTATTTGATCAGAAGCTTGTGATTTGGACCCTATGAAGGAGTGGTTATCATTAGCCCTATCTTCCTGACTGAAACACTAAGGCTTAGAGAGGCAAGGAACTTCCTCATGATCACACAGCTAGGAAATCATGGAGGCAAACATGGAACTCAGACCATCTCCAGCTCGAACTCGAGAGTATATAATGTCTTCCTAGAAGGTATAATTTATAAAGGATGGCATATTAAGTAAAATCAACAGCAACAACAAAAAACCCACAAAACATATTGACATGGAGTCAAGATATTTAGATTCAACTGCTGGCTAATCACAAACTCTGATATCTTGGGAAAGTCATTTACTATCTCTGAACCTCATTGGTGTCCCTCATCTGTTAAATGGGATAATAATTAAACTCTCACAGGGTGGTGGTGGTGGTGAACATAATACCAACTAAAGCAGGTGAAATGCTTTATGAAAGCACAAAATGAATGCAGGATATTGTAGGTTTGGAAATATGTCATCACAGTTAGAAACAATGTATACCATTAACACCCCTAGCAAGTAATCACAAGCAAAGTCTTTGTGAGACTTTGTTCTCATCTTCATTTGCTGAACAATCTGAAGGTAAGCTTCACGGTGCCCCATGGTGACTCAGGCAATGTCTCACAAAGTCTCAAAGCTGAACCCAGAAATGGGCTTGTGGACTTCGGGCTATTCTTCTTCAGGGAGAACTGGCACATCCAGAGCCAGAATTCATAGACTCGAACTCAACAGTTATTTTACTCTTCAACCAACTCTATGTGATTCTAACACGGAAATGAAAGGCCTTCCAATGTACAATTTTGGAAATAGGCAACCAATTTCCATAGTGACTGACATTAAACACTGCCTCCCCACCCCGTGCTACAAGCTTGGTATGGATTTGGTTATTAATAAAGGCCAATTTGATGCATATATTCAAGTCCTGGTAAACACAAGTCGAGAAGTAACTAGGAAGGCAAACCACCCTTTGTTATCTCTGGAGGTGTTTCATTCTGCTCCTTCACTGACCTATTAAGCTTTATTCTTGAATATACATGTACTTGTTTGCATTTCCCTCCATAGCTAATACTGAACATTACTCTAGGGAAAGAGGAGGATTATGAAAGATTTTGGATTTAATTATTATAGCAGCACCGTTCACACCCACTGCAGTAAAGGTAGTCTCAGCAGAAAAATGGTAAGTTCTTTTCACGAGGTCACAACTCCATAGACAAATTCATCACACACTGGGTATCCCACAGTGTGAGAGAATCATGCTCACATGTATGCCCGTGTGTGTAATCTTAAAAAATGACAACTGTTCTTCTGCTTTTCAGTTAGATGAAAACAGAACAAAGTAGGCCTCCTTAGTGACTTTAGATGTTTGTTCAGGATCTGGTAGTTCACGGTGCCCATCTTTGTGTGAAAACGCTCTGGTTTTTATTTTTACCATGACTTATAATTTCTATATTATTTTTTTGTCTCCAATATTTATTTACCTCTTTAAAATCACTTCCTTCTTTCACATAGAAATGTACTAACTTTCCTTAAGAGAACATAAGTTTACACATACGATATATTTTGTCATCACAAAAGTGCCACATTTACTCTTTATTAGGCACGCACTGATTTATATATTTTTATGTTTTTAGCTCATCTAATCTTTGCTACATCCCGATGAGGTAAGCATTATTATTTTAAGACCTGTAGTATCCCACATGATTGCAAGTTTATTTATTTTCTTTTTATTATGTTACGTTAGAGTCACCATACAGTACATCATTAGTTTTTGATGTAGTGTTCCATGATTCATCATTCGCGTATAACACCCAGTGCTCCATGCAGTACATGCCCTCCTTAATACCCATCACCGGGCTAACCCATCCCCACACCCCCGTCCCCTCTGAAACCCTCAGTTTGTTTCCCGGAGTCCATAGTCTCTCATGGTTCATCTCCCCCTCTGATTTCCACCCCTCCCCGATTTCCGCCCCCCTTCATTTTTCCCTTCCTTCTCCTAATGTCCTCCATGTTATTCCTTATGTTCCACGAATAAGTGAAACCATATGATAATTGTCTTTCTCTGCTTGACTTATTTCACTTAGCATAATCTCCTCCAGTCCCATCCATGTTGATGTGAAAGTTGGGTATTCATCCTTTCTGATGGCTGAGTACTATTCCATTGTATATATGGACCGCATCTTCTCTATCCATTTGTCTGTTGAAGGGCATCTTGGTATCAATCAATGTGATAGAACACATAAACAAGAGAAGAGACAAGAACCACATGGTCCTCTCAATTGATGCAGAAAAAGCATTTGACAAAATACAGCATCATTTCCTGATTAAAACTTTTCAGAGTGTAGGGATAGAGGGAACATTCCTCAATTTCATAAAAACCATCTATGAGAAGCCCACAGGGAATAACATTCTCAGTGGGGAAAAGCTGAGAGCCTTTCCCTTAAGATCAGGAACACGACATGGATGCCCACTCTCGCCACTACTGTTCAACATAGTACTGAAGTCCTTAGCGACAGCAATCAGACAACAAAAAGAAATAAAAGGTATTCAAATTAGCAAAGAAGTCAAACTCTCTCTCTTCACAGATGACATGACACTTTATATGGAAAATCCAAAAGACTCCTCCCCCAAATTCCTAGAACTCATACAGCAATTCAGTAATGTGGCAGGATATACAATCAATGCACAGAAATCAGTTGCTTTCTTATACACTTACAGTGTAACTGTAGAAAGAGAAATTAGAGAATTGATTCCATTTTTGATAGCACCAAGAACCATAAGATACCTCGGAATAAACCTAACCAAAGAGGTAAAGGATCTATACTCTAGAAACTATAGAACACTCATGAAGGAAATTGAAGAAGACACAAAAAGATGGAAAAATATTCCGTGCTCATGGATCAGAAGAATAAATGTTGTTAAAAGTCTATGCTGCCCAGAGCAAACTATACTTTGAATGCCATCCCAATCAAAATACCAA